CCTTTTTTATTGTAGAAATATTTGAAAACATGGAAAATAAGAAGCATGCAGAAATTCTCTCCTGCCACCCTGTCACAAGTCTCTGTTAAACATTTTGGTGTATTTCTTTCCAAATTTCTGCCTCTCTATATGTATACATATATACATCCAATTTTTTTGTGTGTTATGTGAACATATAATTGTCTTAATAAAAATTTAATTATAGAGTATAATACATAATGTCTATATCAGTTAAAGTTAGTAAAGCTCTTTGGGCCTTGGTGTACTAATAACCTGTGAAACGGAGCTAACAGTATCTGCCTTGCAGGGTTGTTGGAAGAATTCAATGCCATCACATGTAAAGGAGATGACCCAGTGTTCAACAATGGCAGCTATCTTAGTCACTGATGTTTCTGAGAGAGCAATTTCTCCTCCACAGTTCTGGAAAGGTAAGTAGCCCATTTTAAACTATTAAATTTAGCTAACAATTTAGCTAAAACTTTCCAAATACTAGAAAGCTAAAGTTGGGCCATGCACACTGGCTCACACCTGTAATCCCAGCACTTTGGGAAGATGAGGCAGGTGGGTCATGTGAGGTCAGGAGTTCAAGATCAGCCTGGTCAACATGGCAAAAACCCCATCTCTACTAAAAATACAAAAATTAGCTGGGCGTGGTGGTGTGCACCTGTGATTCCAGCTACTAGAGAGGCTGAGGCCAGAGAACTGCTTGAACTTGGAAGACTGAGGTTTCAGTGAGCTGAAACTGGGCCACTCACTGCATTTCAGTCTGGGCAACAATGCGAGACCTTGTCTCACATAAATAATTAAATTAAGTTAAACTGTACTGCTACTTGGCAGAAGAACTATATTGATTCTTCCAGCTCCACCTATCTCTGAAGAAGCCCTGGGTATTCCTGACTGAATAACGGCATGAAAACCCACTGGTGAATCTCTTCTAGGGGAAACTGTGAGACAGAGTTTTACTCTGTCACCCAGACTGGAGGGCAGTGGCTCACTGCAGCCTCAATCTCCTGGGCTCAAGCAATCCTCTCACCTCAACCTCCTGTGTACCTGGGACTACAGTTGTGTGCCACTATGCCTGGTTAATTAAAAAAACTTTTTTGTGTGTGGAGATGGGGATCTCATGATGTTGCTCAGTCTGGTCTCAAACTCCTGGGTTCAAGTGATCCTCCTGCCTTGGCCTCCCAAAGTGCTGGGATTATAGGCATAAGCCATCGCATCTGGCCTGAGGCTACCTTTTAGGGCACACATCTGGTGTGTGGTGTCTGATGGGGGGGTGTTTCTACCTGTGGAAGACCCTGAGGCATACATCTGTGGGAAAGGGAGCTATGTCTATGAAGGCGGATGTGTCTGTGTGGGGGTCTATGCTTGTGAGCATATTGTGTGTCTGGGGAAAGAGGGTGTGGCAACAGGTTCTATATGCTAAGGGGGCTGGATGTCACTCCAGGACTCTGTCTCGGGGGACATGTGTCTCCTTTTACCTCTTCCTGCTTTTTCTTGCTCTCTCTCTCCCTTCCATCTTCCTTGGGTGTGTGTTTTGTTCCTTCTCCTCCCCTCTAGTTCCCCTCATCTTCTTCCTCTATGAGCAGCACTCTCTGCCTCTGCCCAGCCCCTCAAGTGTTCATTTGAACAACAACATTACTGGATAGTAAAACAGTGTTCTTTTGGTCCTTTCCTTGGAGATATACGGCACTGAGAAGAAACCAAGAGAGTTAGCTCAGAAGCTCAAGCCCAGGAAGTTTAAGCAAAGGTTGACTCTGAGGAATGGGGCACCTAAGCACATGTATAGGGAGAGGAAGGAGGCAGCAGAAAGAGGAGTTTAATGATACTCAAGAGAACAGAGGTCTAGATGGGTCCCAGAGAATCCTCAACAGACAGCAGTCCGGCCCAGGTGAAGTGGCTTTGGACAGATTGCTCTTCCTCCTTCAGGAGTGGTAGGAGAGGAAGAGGCAGGCAGGCAGCAAGTAACCAGCCTTGGGAGAGAAGGAAGGCAGTTGTGGGAACACAGACCCTATGACCCCCTCTTCTTGCCAGACATGACAATGCATCCCCATCCCTGAGCCTGCTGCATGGTGGGGAGAGTGAGGGCTCAGGGTGACTGCAGAGGAGGAGGGCAAGCTAAGGTGACAGAGCAATTTCTCCTCCACAGTTAGCCCCACTCTCTAGCACGTCCTCTCTGCAATGGCTCTCAGACTTTCATCAGCAGTATCTTCCAGACAAGAAGCAGATAAGAAAACGGAAGGGGAGCCTAGGGTCAGCAGTAAGACCAGGGAAGAAACAGCCTGTAGGGAACTGGTGAAAAACCACGGAGCAGTTCTGGCCTGTTTGTGTGCCTACATCTTCTACACCCAATTGTTTGTGCCCCTTCTGCTGGACACTGACTCTCATCCCTGTCTTCAAAGCACTTAGCACAGTGCCTGAGACACGACCAGCATCTGGAAACATCTGCTCTACTCAAAAAGCTCATGAAGGTCCAGAGCAAGGAGGCCAGCAAGAAACCAGAGGGGGCTGAGTGAGCTTCAGATGGTAAATGACACAGATGTCACCCTGCTGGGTGGCTGATAGTGCTTCCGGTCTATCAAGTACATTTGCACATACGTTTTATATTTAATACTAGAAAGTTTAAAGAACAAGTTGCGGTATTTTCAGCCCTCTACAGAGAAGAGATTCAGAGAGGCAAAGGCTCTTGCTCTAAGCTACACAGCCAGACAACCATGGAGATGAGGCAGGGACTCAGACATCCTCCTCTTAGCCCTGACCTATCCTTGTCTGTGCTACTCCATGGCCTCTCCAAGGGAGGAAAGTAACCTCGCTATAGATGACAAAACACTGCAAGTGTGAGCTCAGTGGGAATAAGGGGAGGCCAGTAGTGTGGATTCTAAAGCTACTGAAGACAGCAGGAAATAAGATGGGAAGGAGATGTGGACATCTAAACAAATGGGTGATGAAGATCCCAGAGACAAGCAGCTGACAGTGACACGGCGGGAGGAAAGTTCTGGGGGCTGTGCTCAAAGTCAGATGACAGGGTGGAGCTCGCACCAGACCATGGCAGCGGGGACAGGGGTTAACAGTCTCCCCACTGTAGAGTCCAGTAGTAGTAGGAGCAGCCTCACTCAGGCAGAGTCCAGCACTCCCTAGAGTCTCCAACAAAAGGAGAGATGGTGGCGATCTGGATACAGGGGAGGGTCTGGGATGGGCCCCAGGGCTTGAAAACACTTCTCAAGGAACAGAGCAAACCCAAATATTCAATGTCACGTGGTGAATATGTTATAAGGGGTTAATATCTTTATCCTTTCCTATCTGCAAACATTACTTTATCTCCTACCCACTTCAGAAGGGATGAACACAAAAATCTAGACCAGCAGTACCTGTACATCATCAACTGAAAATAGCTTCCAAAAGAAACCAAAGTATGAAGAGACATAGTGAAAACATGTGGGGTTCTGCCATCGAGGAATCAAGAAGAAACTTAAAATTAGCCAAGATTCCATACTCCTCATGGTAGAAAATACATTACCCCTTAATCTAATAAGAGGTGGGAGAAAGGCACGGATAAGATGACTCATCTTGATAAGAAAGACGTACAATAAAGAGAGAATCAGGCCCATTCACTTACTACTATGCATGAGAGAGGGCCACTGATTTTCACATGATGGCCCTGAGTTACATCCTTGTTATCCCTATGGCTTCGGGCCCAGCACGTTCTACTTAGAAGTGACTGTGGAATGCCTTCATGCTCCTTGGACAACCTGGCTACCTGGGTGAGCTTTTCCAGTGAGATGACTGCAAAATGGACTGGAGATCCCAGCAAAAGTACGATTGACCTGGACTCAATCACTCTGAACCAGTGGTCAGCATCCTTTGTCATCAAGCAACAGGGCTATGACCCTCAAATGGGTTCCCCTTTCCTGAAGCTCTCAATATCCGGCCTGCAGTTAGTGCCTTGCCCTCCATATGTACCATGCTTCCTTATAGACTTTTGTTGACTTCAGCTGTTTGGAGACAATGTCTTTAACTGCATTACACTAGAGAAAGAAATTACTCATGAGGAAAAGAGATCAAATCGGTCACACAGACAATCACTTTGGGTAATCTATTGAAGACAGGTAGCGAGGATGATGATATGCCTGTGGAAACATTTTCTGAGCACCTACCATGAGCCAGCTTTTTACATGGGGTCCTTTCATATTCTATCTTGTTTGATCTCTACATGATTATGTATTGAACAACTTCCTTTCACAGATAAGAAAACAAAGTCTTAAAGTCAAGTGGCTTGTCCAAGACGGTAGGGCTGTCGCCAAAACCTTTGTTTCTTCCTTCCACTGAAGTTGGTTTCACCGAACAGTGAAATGCTCAAATACTTCGGATGGTTCCGTGCGTCTGGCTTGTGCCCCCAAACCACAGTGAGTACAAGTCTTAAGGAATGTGTCAGGGCATGGCTGAGACTTGAAGACCTTGGGGATCTCAACTGTTTCTGTCCCCAGTTTACAACTTGTCTTGGGAAAAAACAAACAAACATGCAACCTCTTGGTGCACTGCCTTCCCCAAATTGAGAAACGGGAAAAGTTACTCTCTGGTACTCTTCAGAATGTCGTAACATATAAGAAAACTGGAAACAAAAGGGTCATGCGACCAGGTGGTCTGAAATCCATGCCATTTTGAAGTTACCATTTTTATTTATTTTGAGACAGGGTCTCACTCTGTTGCCCAGGATGGAGTGCAGCGGCACAATAATAGCTCGCTATAGCCTTGACCTCTCTGGCTCAAATGATCCTCTCACCTCAGTCTCCTGACTAACTGGGACTACAGGTTTGCGCCGCCATGCCTGGTTCCTTTTTTTTTTTTTTTTTTGTACAGATGGATTCTCACTATTGTGTCCAGGCTGGTTGAAGTTAATATTTTTAATGTAGAGTCACCAACTGCATTAACAAGTGACACATCTAACATGTCCGGTCAGTTCAGGGCAAAGGAGAAGCAGAGGACAGGGCCAGCCACCTTACCAGCAGTAGTCCAGCAGATGAGGTGGCAACACGGGGATGTACACGTGCTGCCAGTACATGGGGTAGAGCATCGCCGCCGACCCGTGGATGCAGGCAGTCAGCTGGAACAGAGCAAAGCAGAGGTCGATGAACAAATCCAAGGGAAGAGACACCGCCATTTGATTACAGCAATACAATTCTATAATTCTTCAACATGTTTACATGATAAGCCAAAAAACCTGGAGAAATCATTCTATGTTAACTCAATCACCCTAATTCAAATTTAGTAAGAGCTTTCTTTTCAAAAAATCTTTTTTTCTGATTATAAAGTTAATATATGACTTACGGTAGAAAACTGTAAAAGCGGAGAAAGGTATTAAAAAAACCCACCACCATCGGAAGATTTAATATTGTGGATTATTACACACACAAGCATATGTATTTCCTTTTTAAATACAATTAGGATGACTATACAGTATTCTTTTGTGTTTCTTAAAAGTGAATGTTATTTGATGCCATTTTTCTTTAAATAATCTTAGAAAAAGGTATCTCTTAATGATGCTTTAAAAGCACAAATCCAGAATATTCTTTAAATATTTTTAGAAAACAATATATTTGAATGATACTCGATGATTTCCCAGGCTATTATATATTTAACTACTCTTCTACTATTAAGTAATATAATCATATCAGGTCAATAATTGGTATATATGGTTTCTAAATATAGAATTCAGAGACAAAGGTTATAAGTATTTCAAGGTACTTAATAAATACATATCTCATAAATGTGTTAGGATAATGAACAGATGAAGGATGGAGGCTCCTTACACCCCCCCATCCCCAGCCATACACCACCATTCTGGCCTTCCTGCCCCTCACTAGCACTACTCCTTGTAGTCAAGTTAATAGCCTTAAAATTGTATCTATCTTACTTTTACTTTTATTCTGATCATGACTAAGGATGAACATTTTGTCATGTTTCTTGACTATACTTATATAATAGACAAATGGTCTGTTCATATTCTTAGCCCACTTTAAAAATTAGTATTAGTTATTTTTACTACTTTATAAGCAATCACTGATGATATACAAAGAATACCCAGATTTTGTAATGTTTTTGAAGATAATTTATCCTTAATTTTCTTTGGATTTCTGGGCAAAAAGAAGGTTTAAGTAATTACATAGACAAATATTTTCTTCCATTATGATTTCTACCACTTTATCCTACAAAAGTCTTCCAGATTTTTCCACAGCATTTAACTCTTCCATCCATCTGGAATTACTTTAGGTTTAAGGACTGAGGTGAGAATTTATTTTTTCCACATTGGTAATCAATTGCTCTGGCACTGTTTACTGACTAATCCTTCCTCTCCACAGTCTTTTGACTTGCCACTATTTTATATTACTTTTTTTTCCTAAGAGCTAGAGACATCATACAATCAGTATTTGATACTTAAAAATTTAGGAAGCAAAGATAATACAAAGGGATACAATTGCTACAAAATTCAATATAGTGAAAAGAAAGAAAAAAGTCAACCTTTGGAGATACAGCTATGAAGTGACAAAAGCCAACAACACACTTCTTTCTGTCTTTTTCTCTTTAATGTTTCTTTGGTTTCAGGGAAGCCTGTTCCCATGAGGACTTTGCTCCTTTTTGGAAGCTGTTAACTGGCCTTTGCTGACAGAAGGACATTTACGTGGCAAAAGAGTGACGTGCCAAGGCCCAGTTAAAAGAATCCCAGAGGTTAGTGTAACATGAACAGCTTTAAATTGGATATTCTGCTGATGTTTCACAGTTGTGAGAGCTGTGTGTTAAAGCCAGGGCTGCTACTCCCTACCCCTGCCTGCTTGGACACTTTCCTCCAGACCCTGTTCTTGAAGCCAGGTACATGCCATGAACCGGATCTGATTCAGCAGGCACCCAAGAAATGTCCCCAGAGACCCTGCCAAGGTTCGCAGGTTTAATTCATTCCTTCCCATTCTATTTTCATAGGTTCCCATATAAAAAAGGCTGTCATTCATGTGTGTGTGTGTATGACTAATCCCTTCAGGGCCTCTTAGAGATGAAAACTCCTTGCTGGTGTTGAGTGGAGAATGAACCGACCTGACCTGATTCCACCCTGAAGTCGGCTGGAGGGTTCCACTCTTTCTGCCCTCCTCAAGTGCAGGTTCCGTCGTATCAATTCCTACTCAGAAGTCTTTGGGGCATGCCTGGCTCAGGATGGCTCCACCAGCCCACGTCTAGCTTTACAGCAGCCAACTGTAGCCACATTCTGTACTGTCTTCTCCAAGTCTGTCCTTGGAATATATCACTTGCAGGCTTAGATAGGGTCATGTATTCCTTTTCCTTCCCTCCCTTTCCACCTGTCGCCCAAACTGGCCAGGATTTGTGCCTCTAGCAAACTCCTTCCTCAGGTCTGTGTGTAAGCACTTCCTCTTCAAAGCCTTCCCTTGCTCCGCATGCATAGACACCGGAGCATTATTCATAATATTATTAGTACTATTAATGTTATTACTAATGCTAATATTATTACGAACATTACTATTATTATTACTAATTTTTGAGACAAAGTCTCAAAATTAACGGGAACCTATGGAAATAGAATGAGAAGGGATGGATTAAACCTGTGAGCCTTGGTGGGGTCACCCAGGCTGGAGTGCAATGGCGTGATCTCCACTCACCACAACCTCCGCCTCCTGGATTCAAGCAATTCTCCTGCCTCAGCCTCCTGAGTAGCTGGGACTACAGGCATATGCCACCATGCCAGCTAATTTTTGTAGAGACGGGGCTTTGCCATGTTGGTCAGGCTGGTCTTGAACTTCTGAACTCAAGTGACCCACCCACCTCAGCCTTGGGATTACAGACACGAGCCACTGTGCCCAGCCCGTAGGCACTCATTATTAACTGGACCATAACTGTCTGCATGTTTGTCTCCTGACTTATAAAGTACAGAAGATGTCATCTCCATGTTCTCAGTGGCACAGAATACACACACACACACACACACACACACACACACACGTGTGCACTAGTTAATGGGATGTGTCCTGAATAAATAAAAAATAATTTTTACTTAGAGTATACTCACAATCCAAAGATAGTTTAGTAGTTTGGCTTTTAACAGTATTATACGAACATTTTCATGAGTCTCACAGAATAAGGTACATGACTCAAAGTCTAAAACAGGCCGGGTGCAGTGGCTTACTCCTGTAATCCCAGCACTTTGGGAGGCCGAGGTGGGCGAATCACTTGAAGTCAGGAGTTTGGGACTAGCCTGGCCAACATGATGAAATCTCATCTCTACTAAAAATACAAAAAAATTAGCCAGGCATGGTGGCGCATGCTTGTAGTCCCAGCTACTCAAGAGGCTAAAGCAGGAGAATTGCTTGAACCCGAGAGGCGGAAGTTGCAGTGAGCCAAGATCACACCACTGTATTCCAGCCTGGGCGATGGAGTGAGACTCCATCTCAAAAAAAAAAAAAAAAAAAAAAAAAAAAAGTGTAAAACAACAACAGCAAGATTAGACACACAAGCATGGCACTTTTGAAAAACCAAGTCATTCAACCATTCACCCATTTGTTCAATCGCATGCCTATGCTATAACTCCGCAACACATAAATAAATAAAAGCATTTCAAAATCTGTAAGGTCCCATACAAATATAAGGTAACAATATCACATGAATTGATTTGTGATTCCCTTTGAAAAAGTCATTTAATAGAATGAATCTGGTTCAGACAGAACTTGATTATGTGACTCTTTTTAGGTTAACCTGGTTTGGGTCAAAAGCCTATTTTAACTGATAAAGTAGCAGAGATCTCATCTTCAGATAATGTTCTTTTCATGTCTTCTTAACCTCAAAAGCAAACCTACCAGCCTCAACATCAAGATTTTAAAATTACTTATCCTTCATTAAAAAAAAAAAAAAAATCAAGGTTTTAAGGTGTTTGATCATTTCATTAGTGGGTTTTCTAAGGGCCAAATCTCTGCAATTGGGATAAAATGCATTGCTCATTTGATTAAGAAAACAAACAAACAAAACAGGGAATTGTTTGGCTGTTTTCCAAAATACTAAATGACATAAACTATGTGCATCATTACTTAAGAAAGGTAAGTTGATTACAAGAAAAGTCCTACTATATATCTGTATTCAATAATGCACTCTGTTCTATAAAGTATTGCTTGACACTTAAAAAATAACTCTAAATCCTGTTTCTAAAAATAAAAGTCCTAAAGGCCTATGTTCATTCCTTACAGAATGCAAACTTTAAAAGTAATGAAAGTACATAATTTGGAGTGTAATCAACAAAGGGGTATTGTGAATATATAATTGAAGTGCAAGCTGAAGAAAATGATCCTATCAAAATCTCACTCAGTGGGAGAATGGAAAGATAGTATGTGTAAAATTTGCCCAGAGTCATTAGTCACAATGAATATTCATCAGAAGCCAATTATCAATCCCATTTAATGACACCCCAAAAGATTTTTCCCTGAAGCAGTTGAATAGTCTAAGACTCCAGACAAAACTAGACAAATTATACAGCCAACAGCCAGTCTAGCCAGGACACAGACTGTAAAGTAAACCACTGGTGGGTTTTTGGATGCACTTTAGCAAATTCTGTCCTCAATTAAAGGTGCACAAGGTCAGTTATATCTCAGAGATTTCTATATGGCTCCATTAGTTTTCTTTGAGGCAAAGGGAGAAGGGGAGAAGGGGATGTGGGTAGGACATGAATGGAGAGTGATCAATGATGGAGTTGGAAAAATCACAAGGACACCTTTTTTGCCCAGTCATTTCTCAGAGATAAAGCCCAGATTGTCACAATCTTAGATTCCAATGCCTCTGCTGAATCCTAATAACATCGCTGCAATTTAACATAAAATAAAAATAAGAATGGCCCCTGAAAAGACAAAACCACAGTATGTGCCAGGTACCATGGTGGGGTTTAGACCCTTGCAAAATATTGTTTTAAAGGAAAATGTGTGTGCATTGATACACATATACACTCATCACCATGTTTCACAGATAAGGAGACAGTTTCCGAGGTGAAATAACTTGCCCAAGGCCACATCGACAGTAAGTGACAGAACTGGGACTCACAGCCAGGTCTGTCAGAATATG